GCACCAAGGACTCCAGTTGCCAAAAGGGAGTCCAAAAGCTTAGATCAAGAAAGAAAAATCGTGCAGGCATTTCAAAGAGGTCTCAATACAACTAGCAAACTACGTCTGCAAATCTGCACACCCCCGTTTTTCTGAGGACATAAGTTACAGGTGCCATTGTTAGTGGCCACTGTCTGAAACGGGGCCCACACGCTTGCAGCTGTATCACCAAGCTCACAAAATGAGGTTGTAAAATAAGAATAACCTTATAACAATACAGTGTTGCTTGAGGAATGAGATTCTTAGTACACAGACGGTATCAGAAGGGATCATCAAAACATTACGATAGATACTAAAATGGAATTCCTGTTAAGATGTTAACTTATATTTATACATAAAAGCAGCATATTTAAAGTCTGCTTGTTAACATTCGCAGTTATTTTACTGACAGAGAGGCATTCGGAGAGCATCGTAAGGAAGTTATGTTGGTAACAAAGCAACGAATTTAAATAATACTAAATGCATTATTTAATAGAAGTTAACAGTAGAGATTAAGCAGCAGTACACGTGGATTGTTTGATTTTGTACTCTAGTGGCAAAGGAAGATATAACAGCGTGTTTGGACAGAAAAATCTTCATGTTTGAAGTCTCCAGCTGCAGAGTTTCAGGGCTGAGTTACTGAGCACAGGCCAGAGATTACCCTAACTTGGTTAACCCAAAAAACTGACCAGAGGGAGATTTCCATCCTGCCTTGCAGCGTTTGCTGAGACACACTCTCTGAGTCTCTCACGAATAGCAAGTAACTCCCTGTGATCAAGACGGTAAGCGTTATGCTAAACCCCTTTTTTAGCACCTAAGCAGCATGCTTTCTAACTCTGCAAACTCCAGACCATTTCCTAGAAGGAAAGGAAGTAAAAAGTTTATGTCAGGAAACCATTCCTCAGCATATCTGTGTAAAAAGGAGGGTGGACGCACCCCTAGAAAGGAGGGTGGACGCATTTCTTTGCTCTTTTTTTCTCCTTGCACTGACGGGCACATGACAGAAACCGGAGCGGGATCAAGTCCAAAGAACTATCCTCTTTAAGGATACACTACGTGGTATCATCAGCGAGTCTCAGCCAATATTGGCTAACAGTCGCTGTCTGTTTGCCAAGCAGAAGTTTGCCATGTTAAACTGTCACTATAGTGCCACCTTGAAGAGGCGTTATCATCACTCTTGCGATGATACACGGCAACCGTGAACAGAAAGCAAGGCCGGAGCTCACACATCTGAACAACAGACAATCCTGGTGCCATGGATAAGTAACCCAACAGACAGCGCTGCCTGCTTATCGCTGCCGCGATCCAGGAGCCCTCTTCAAATGGACATTCCCTCCAGTAAAAATTACACCATTTTATGCCTTTATAATACACCAGTTACTGAATTTTGTTAAAAATATGGAGAATACAGAAACCCATTTTATTATTTCTCTAAATTTACTGCTTCCCTGCTCTGAACACAAGCACAATAGAAAGCCACAAAATCACTTACGCATCTCATGGAGTTGATAGTGACCTAAAACATGGACAAAAACTCATTCCCAAGGCATCTTGCCTTACGACCTTCACAGGTAAAGGACAGAGAGACAGCCAGCACAGCAGCCACAAGGCAGGGGCTAGATTTCCCCTTTCACTAGACTTCTCTTGATATTGAATTGGGCACATAAAACCCGGGGAAAGGAGAGCATTACACCAGACAAAAGTGCTGTATGCTGCTGCAGACAAGGCTCACCATATGGGAAAACACTTACATAATGTAGCTGCACGGCTTAGCCAGGGTTGCTGCACAAACTCCTCATTAATATGGCAAAGTTATAACATGAACTTACAGAACGCGGGACCTGAAATTTGATTAGATACAGGGTGGGAACTTTTTTTTTTTATTTAATAATGACTGTATAATATTGACCTTAGTAATTACAGACTAGAAAAGCGAACTTTGCATTAACGGCACCGTATTGATTTTGCAAATGCAAAAGTACAAAAGTACTTTTATGCCTAAGAAAGGTTCTGGTTACCACATTTGAAAGACCTTGGGAGAACAGTGTCTTGGAGAACTGTATTCTTCATTCAGTAGCACTCCTATGCATACACCCAACTGCCGTACTCACAAGCCCTAATATTTGACAACCTGATAAAGCCTCCTCTGTAGTGCCCTCAGCTCCCTTTGACTCATGGTGGACTCAATACTTTGCCGAGTTGGAGTCAAGTCTAATGGGTCAAATGCAATTTAACTTATTAAAACAGTTTATTCCATATGTAATACATCAGTGAATTAATATATTATTCACCAATATGTTCTGAACTATTTAGCCAGCTGTATGAAATGTTTCTAATACACTAGCTGACATTTTTTTAATTACACAAATACTTCGGGTAGCAAATAACTGTTCGTTATTTGGCAAGCCCTACAAATTATATACAGCTAATTATATTCAGGTTGGTATATGGGTTATAAATAACTGTGATAAAACTGATATCAATGCTGACAGAATTTTAGTGGAAATTGACATTTTCCTATACTAAAATAACTGAGAGCTACGAACAGAAATACTGCTTCCAGAAAGGCAATTGTAAATTAATAAATTCTGTCTGTGCACAAAATGACTTATTATTTTAACACACTACATATTTTTGCCTTCAATTCTTATTAATTTCATGTTTTGCCTTAATTTATACTTTGAGAATTTTTCTTCATTCCTCTTTTTTGAAGTACTGTTCAAGTTACTGACTTTAAAAGCATTTCACAGAGAGAGCCTCCGTAGATTTGTATTTGAGTGTGAATCCCAAACTTTTAGGACCAACTCTCAAACCTGCGTACAGATCTGTGTGAGCAGTCACATACTGCTAACCTGGAGACCAAGTAGTAACACAAGCCCTGGGACTGTGGTGGGTTGTGAACCTCAGCACCCGAAAGAGTCTAAACCACGACGGGGCTGTCTAACACGCTGCAGTCATTTGCATTCATTCAAAGGTTACTGGCTTTATAATGACATAACATTTAAACACAAAATTCTAAGAAGTTACAGAGCTCGTGCTATTCTCCGTTACGTAGTCCTAAACCAGTTTGTGAAGTCAACCCTGGTTTGCCTCAGTCCAATCAAGTCAAAATTTGTTTCAGGCTGTGCCTTATGCAAAGACAAACCCTACCATCTGCTTGGGCTTCAGCTAACCAGCCTCCTTTCCCGAGATTCCCTGAAGTAGCAACCTGAATATCACACCTGTTTATCACGACAACTCCCTTTAACAGATCCTTCTGTTTCCCTGTCCTGACTATTATATCTGTTAGCATCCTGTAGCAGGCAAGGGGAACATGACCTCTTCCCGTACACGAGGGAAGAGGCTGAAATTTTGAGCCACGGTGATGTAGCCTGTCACCAGGTGTGGATTAGCTGTTCCAAGTCAGTGCATGTCACAGTGCTTTAAGGATGTGTGGAGGTGTGATGAAATTCAACACAACAACATACATCCTCAACTTACCACATCCTCGTCTGAAACAGTCATGCCCGGAGGGACCATTTCCCATGTTATGGTATGTAGTAAAATACAAAAACAAAACCAAAAAAAACCCCAACAGAACAAAACAAGTCAAAAAACCTTAAGGAAAATGGATACCTTTTGTGAAAGAACTATTACTAAATGTAAAACCAGTGAAAAAAAAAGGGGAGGGGGGGAGAAAAAAGGGAGAGCACATTCTTCAGTAGGGGAAGTTTCTCCTGTAAATTGGCAGTGAATCAGTTACTAAATGACATGCCTAAAATCAGGTGGTGGATTATTGGAAATGAAATCTTTGTCCCAGGAAAGCCAACGGCAAAAATCCTATTGATTTCAATGGGACAGGGTTGTCTCTCTGGACTTAACAGTCAATCATGCAGAATTGGCAACGGCATCCAAACGTCCTCGTTTGTTATTAGACCACGGAAATCCATATTAGTTTGCTTCATCTGCACTTGTGACCAGCGCACCAGGACGGTTTTTTTTTTTTGGCATAGAGGTGCAAATAAGCAGAGTGGGTTCAGTTTTTCAACCCAAGCCACATGAATGAAAGCTTTGCTCTTTCTCCCAAGCATTTCAGAGTCCATTTTCCCCCTGAAAGGCATGGGCAGCCTCACCGCTAATGGAGTGCTGTGTTTACAAGCAGAAGGGAACTAAGCCTTTAGTGTTTTTGCATATTTGCAATACAGTATGTGGTCGGGATGGGAGGAAGGTTTGTTGGAAGAGGAAGATGCTGAGAAATGGTGGAAGAAAAAAATCTGGTCCTTAGAGCCTAGCATTGCTATGAAGTATACAGAGTCCCCATTTTTTTCAGTCCTTTTCGCAGAAGAGCTTTGGCGAGGAACAATCAAACTAAACTGTAGATACTTAATATTATAAATATTATACGGTGGTATAATGCTCCCATTTAAACAACTTTTCATGAACAACCTTTCAAAATTTAAGTGCTTGGAAATTCTTGGATGACAAAGCTACTATTTATGACTAATCTTTTTATCTGAAAGCAAAACTGGGTCCAAATAAATAAAAGGACAATAACAGTAACAATGTAGAAAGAATGCATGTGTGTGCAGCACGCACCCACGCAGAAAAACAATAAACAGATTTACAATAGTGAAACGTGTGATAGGCAAGATACTATTAATACGGTGCCTGAAGTCCGTCACTTAGACTAAATATCATATAGAAATCACCACAGATTGATACAAGGCTGAGTAAACAAACGATACAAACTGTAGTGGGTATATTTGTCCAGCCATGTATTAGTGCAATACACAAAATGGGACCCAGTGAACGTTTAAAGTGAAAATTTGTGACCTGTTAGTATCCCCAAAACGCCCGTAGAACATTATTCTCCCTTTTAACCTTAATTTTTATTCTCTGTCTCAATTTCTGCTCTGCTTCTCCCATCATAGCCCGAGTTACCTACGCTGACAGCCATAGCAGGCCAAGGTAGCACAGATGGGGCGGCTGCAGCTGCATCTCACCTGCCAGACTGCAAAACCCACCGGGACACTTTCCGGCTCCCTTTATGTCTGTCTTTGTGCATTTGCAACAGCGCCTTTCGCTGGGCCTTTATTGAACGTGTCACCGATGCCGCACGGCTACGGCTACGACGCACCGCTAATAAGTCACAGATCCGCAACGTGTTTCTTAACGGAGGAAACCCAAGACGGGCCTCCCCAAAAAGTATACCTTGAAAACGTCAGTATGGGTTCTGATTTAAAGCAATTCAATATGCCTGGCTCCCCAAAGGCAGCACGCCCGTAGGGACAAAGAATACCTCAATGCAACTCAACAGCAAACCCTGCTGGATTAAATTGCAGTGCCGGAGGGCTCCACATTTGGTCTCAGCTCGCCTTTGTCGGGGAGCAGAGCGGGTGCAGGTGACGGTGCGGGAGCAGCCTGGCTTTCGGGGCGATGGGAACAATGTGCGGCGAGCCAAGCGCGGCAAAACTTTCCTCGTAAAGTTGCTCGTTTGGGGCTTCACGAGAAACTTGGCAAAGTTTCCCTCGGGGCTCAATTTTTTCAAAAGCCTTAACCTCCCTTCCTTTGTTTAATCTTCAATTTTGTGCCTAAAAAATCAGGGAGAGGGGGGAGTGTCAGTTTTTCCATACCCAGCTTTGCAGGCTGCAAAAAAAGTCCTGCTGCTACCTGAGCGGGGGATCGGCCAGGCAGCGAGATGCCTGCGTGCTCTCGCTTACTTCCACAAATAATCCCACCTGCAAACGGAGAAGTTGAGTTTCAAATATCAGGCCCTCAGGTTCATGGATCTTTTGAAACGAAGCTGTGTCAGATTTATGGCTTTGGTGTGCTAACGGAGGAAACCGTGGCCATTTTGAGCGAGTTCTGCCCGGAGCTTTCCGATCTGAACCGCAGGCTCCGCTTCGAGATCAGAGCACAGAAAGTTTTTGTAGCATGCGTGTGCTCACCAAAAAATATATGTACCTCTGTAAAGCGAAGCAGGCGTAGAGCACGTGTCTCCAAGAAGCACGCCTGCCTTCCCTAGCCTGCAAATGCAGCTATCACCGCCGTACTTATTAACAGCTATAAAGCGAGGGAAAAGTCCCCGCGTTACACCGTCCCCGAACCGCTTTCTCTTAAAACAGAAGACAATTACGGCAGACTGCATGCCCTTTACTTTGGATGCAGTTAAAGATTTTGCTGGCTGCTACACCAAAACTTCCCATGCTGTGTTTACTGAATTGAATATAATCTTTTTTTTCTTCTTACCTTAATTTCAATATTTAGAATAGCTTAATTATATCTGATATCTACTAAATGTTAAATTGCTGCCATGGATACCGTACTTGTTTTAGGCTTTGCCCACAACCCAAAATGTAACTAAAGATTAATAGAATGCTGAGATATTTTTGGCTGCAAGTGAAATTTAATGAATAAACATTTAAATAAATTACCCCAATAATGAAACAATATGCCATTAATGCCTGAGTTATGCTAAATGCTTCGCTTCTCTTACAATTCATGCAAATACTCGGGAAAAGAAATTATAGCGGTGAACTACATTAAACAAAATCCTTCCTAAACCACACCCATAAACCAGTGTCTCTACAGTACTGGGAACAAAAACTGTGGCTTGTCAGTCAAAGTGTCTAACTATGGCATATGGGTAAAGGTTTCAGTCTGCTATCTCCAGACTCATCTTATGGCCCGGGTTCAACACTACTGAACTGCTCTCTAGACAAAAGACGAACTCATTGAAAATGGGTGCTGCGAGCTGTCTGGTCAGCGCGACCGCGCAGCCTGCGTCTGGATGCACACAAACTACTAGCATGGGGGAAATGCAACGCGCTTTGGAGGGCTTTAGAGTTTCCTAAGAGCTGAAAAAGAAGCAGCCTGAAGGTTAAAGCTGGCTAGTCAGAATGGCATACTTGGCTGCATATATAGCCAGGTGGCCTGGGCATATTGGCAAACAACTGGCAAACTGCCCAATACATATGGCTTAGATTGCTTTGCTCTTCCCATGAAGCCTTCTTAGACTCTTGAGCAAGCATTCATTTTAGAGCATAACGCATCCAAGTGTTAAATAAAATCTTCCCCCAAATACACTGCATGTAACCTTTTGCTTTAAATAATAATGAAATAACTATATTAAAATAAACTAATTATATTTTTTAATGAATTCTTACATAAAAGTGACACCACCCACC